ATGGGGAGGCAAGTTAACCCTTGGCCATAAAGGCCTTCGAGTGTGGGCTCCCCATTACCTTTGCTCTTTGTCCCTGGGGAAACAGGTCCAGCACCGCTTCCTTTGGGTGATGGGAATGTTTCTGCAGACAAAAAATATACTTTGCTTCCCTCTTGTTTCTGAAAAGTGCTGGCACCCCCAAGTCCTGCGCCCAATGTGTGTGGCTCTGACAGTAGTCAATGATCAAGAGAGTTGCTTCATGATGTGGGGCCTCAGGTCTTCATAATGGCGAGTTCTACCCTCCATACTGCTGAGAACACAAACTACTGATGTCCAGAAAAAGTGACTGCAGGAGGCCAGGAGCACCCTGATTCCCCACATGCTGTTTTGGGGCCTTTTGAAGCACTCAGCACAGAACATACAAACTGAAAAATGGCCTCAAGGAATTTATGCTCTAAGAGGGAAACAAAACTGATCCGTGTCCTCTTTGAAAACACGGCAGGACCAGAATAATGAAGACCACAAAGGTGCGTGAAGAGGCAGAGGCGAGAGAGGAGTGTACAGGTTAGACTGGAGAAGATGTAGGTTAATGCAGGAACAGGAAGGGGAGGCTGGCTGCAAACTCTTGTGTGCTGAGAAGGGTAAGGGAGAGAAAGCCATGCAGGTAGGAAAAAGAGGATCTGGGGTGTGCCTGGTAGAAGTTTCTGTGCCTGACTTACAAGGGACACTCAGTAAAGGAGCTGAAGGCAAGGAGTTCTGAGGCAGTGGGGGGGGTGCAGGGGCGGGGTAGGCCGGGGGAGGGGGGGGTAGGTGTATAGACCCAGGGTAACGGCAGCTCCTGGGGCTTTAGGTAAACCCGGGCCATTCAGTACCTAGAAATCTGAGAAATGTGTATGAGTACGTGTGAGTGTGGGTGTGGATGTGTGTGTGGGGGGGTACATTCCAGCTCTCTGACCCCATTACTTCCTGTCAGTCAAAGGATCCTTCAAACATGATGGGAGGTAAAATTTCCACAGCACCCACAACGGGATACTATTCAGCCATAAGGAAAGATGAAATGTTGCCATTTACAGCTAAATGAGGGTGCTTGAGGGAATGCTGTTGAGTAAAGCAAGTCAGAATGACAAGCCCAGAGAGTGAACTTTTATGGATGATTCAACAAAGAAAATATAAACTAGTGGATGCTTAAATAAGGTGAGGTTTCTGAGGTCAGAGAGAGGGGAAGTTTGAGAAAGTGCTAGAGGGGTGTAAGAGATGGTGGTGGGAATATAAAATAAAATAAAACACAACATGGACTACCATAATTTAAAAAAAAACAACTTATATCCACACTCAAAAATATGCATAGCTACCAATTGTACCTTCTATAAATAAATAAATACATAAATACATAATTTTAAAAAATAATATAATTCTTCCTTAGCAGCCCTTCTTTAGCTCTAATTCCAACCTCACAGTCACACACGCAGCCAAAACAAAAAAGAAACAATTTAGGTAGAAAACCACCAGAGGCTCAAGCATTCACCTAGTGGTAAACCCAGGGAAGAGAAATTTTGGAAAGGCCTCCTTAGGGAGGTCTTTAATCCGGTTCTGTGAGGTCCCTGTTCATTTTCTGCTGAGTAGACAACTTGCTGTCAGGCTGACAAAGCCCAGCTCAGGAAGGAGCTTCATGGCCTCCAGTCCCAGCCCAACCCAGCACAGGGCCTGGGGCAAGACCAGGTGGAATGAAGGAGGAAGGTCATGAGAAGGGCAAGTGAACTCAAATTGCTCTTTATGGGGGAGAGAGGGAGTGAGGGTCACAGAGCCCCCCCACCCCCCTGAGGCAGTACTAGAACTGACCGGTCTCTGAGAAACCAGCCTAGTGAAGATTGGTTTCCCATAGATCTGTTCAGACTGGTTTGAGGGCTCGAAACACACAACGTGAGACTCGTTTGGTTATTGTTTGAGTCAAACTAGGTGTGAGTGTTGTGTCTCAGCAAAACTCTGTAGACTGTAGAAGTAAATCAGCGGGCAGAGTGACCCAGAGCACAAACTCTCTCAGAGGCAGGCACACCTGGACATTTACTGAGTTCCCCTGGGAACCCATTCTTTTCTTCCTATTAGAAAAGATGCCAGCTGTGGTTGCCTCACCTTGGCGGCCAGGGGTGCCCCTCCAAATACTTGTACTGGAACAAAGCTGAAGTGCAGAGCGCAGACTGAGGCTGAACGTTTTTCCACCACTACCATCCTCTGAAAAAGCACAGATTTGTTTCCATGATGGAAGAGAGAACAGGCTAATGATGGAGGCCTCTGCAGGGAATCTGGCCCCTGGGCCCCATTTTCAGCATGGCTGTCAACCAGCTTTGTGACCATTCTCTCACAAACGGGCTTCCTGTAAAACTGGCAGAGACAGCCCACTTTATAGGGGCAGCCAAAAGTGTTTGTTAGGGCCACCCTGGTGGCTCAGGGGTTAAAGACAGTGCTATCAAGCTATTACCAGCCACTGCAGCATGAATTCAATCCCTGGCCAAGGAGGTGACCCACATGGCGCAGCAGACCTCTCCTGTCTCACCTGCTGCTCCCCTCAGCAGTATACTTCAGTCAATCTACCTGTTCTGCTCCCCATTCTGTCTCTGGTGAATCCTCTCACCTCCCCCACCCCCACACACACACCCCTCTGGCCTACACCCCTGTTCTTGTATGCATAAATAAGTCTTTAAAAAATAAAAATAAAAATGCTTGTTAAAGTGCTCTCTAAGCCTCTGAAGAGAAAATTGCAAAAGGCAGTAGGGGCAAGTCTCCAGGTAACTGGCTTCTTCAACTGGTCAGTTGGCCTCAGCTCTCACTTTCTCTGCAAAATATCAAAAGGCAGCAGGTGACCAGACCACAAAATAACACCCTGAGTCACTATCCTGGATGCCAGACGTGAGAGTGAGACCTCAGAAGAAGGAGGCTGAAAAAGTGAGGAAATGGTGCTCCACAAAGGGAAATCCTGGGGGTCAAGGGCCACTGAAGAACCCTATACCAGACTCTGCACAGAGCAATCTCCTATTCATGTTTCACAGAAATCTTGTGGAATTTATTTGCCAATCAGTCTAGGAACTTGAGTGAGAAGGGAAAGATGGAACTGGAGGAAAAGCAGGACTAGGCCTCTCTGACCCAGCCCTGACTCATCTTTAATTCACAGGGCAAAGTTGTGAGGAACTGATCAGATTACAAGCCCAGGGCTCCTTAAGTGGAGGTGGTAGGGTCAGGCCTTCAAAGACAGGAAGGCTTCCCCTGAACACCCTGAACCCGAAGAACCAAGAAACAATACCAAGGACAGCAGATCCAGTTCGGGCTAGAAGTCAGAAACTGTGCTGGCACCAGGCACAGGAATACTGTGTGTGTACACAGATCTGTGCAACAGCAATTGCACCTCGGAAAAGGGCATGTGAGAGCCCAAGGCAAGAGCCCGAAAACCATCAGAGGAAATAGAATCCACATGAAAGCCTGTTTGAGATGGGGTGCGCAAGACAGAACACTTCCGTAGGAGGGAGATAAAACTGGCTCAGACCCAGCCACTTACTTTGGCCATTGTGGACACTCTTTGGCTCATTGTGACACCGTCTGGTAGGCAGATCATAAAACTGGGGTGGGCTAGAGGTGAAGGAGGCAGCTCTGTGCACACAAGCACAAGTGCTGGGTAAAGGAACCTCACATAGGCCGCTGGGTGTGGTCTGCACCAACTGGTTCTCAGAGGCCACGTCCTTCCCTTCTTTGTCTATTCACAAGAATGAAGAAAAGACTGTTCTCTCTTTGTCATCTCGATCGCAAAAGGGGATGAAGACACAGCCTGAGCAAAGTCAAACGGCAGTCCTTTTCTGGTTGTCTGTGTAGATTGAGAGACGCGTTCTGTCGGATTATTAAACACAAGCAGGTGATCCCTGTTTAACTTTAAAAAGAATTATACGACGTGTTTTACAGAACCAGAAACAGATCTTGCTTTCCAGTTGAGGCCATTACCAAAGTCAGTTTATATTTCCGAGTCCACTTTGGGCAGAGTTAGTGTGTAATTAATAATTGACAGCCCACAAGTAGGGTATCACCAGCCAACTTGCCAGGAAGCGATGAGAAAGGCAGGCCCTGTGGGAACGGGTTTCTGGGCCTTTCTGCACGTCCATCAGACAAGAAACAGAGTCAAGCTCTCACTTTAGAAAGTCTGGGCTCAACCTCTTTCCTGGTCTTATTAAATCAGGGGGACATCATTTAAAATTTAAAATTGCAGAACAGCGTGTCTAGCCAAGTAGTGCAGTAGTCTTTTGCTGAAAGTTGCAGAGCCCATCATCCAAATGGATCCTTAATAAAGAAGACTAACAAGACGCCAGTAAAAAGGGTTACTTATAGGGAATGCAGGGGAAGATGGGAGGGGATGTGAAAGTAAGATTTCTTTTCATGTATTTTGATTTTTAAAGCATATACATTTATTGTCTCTTTTTCAAAGTAAAACAGTTTATTTTTTTTTTCTTTTTATTTTCAAAGTAAAACAGTTTTTAAAGTTGGAAGGCCAGTGTGGAGCTGCTGGCAGAAGGAAGTGGGCGGTCGCGAGGCAGAGCAGCAGATACCCTGCCCCCTTCTCTCCCCAGGCATCTCTGCAGCTTCCATTTGCCCTCTGCATTAGGATACAGGTGGCCAGGCCAGTCTTCTCTTTTCTAGCTTGGGAGATGATTGGCTCTCCCTTTCCAAAGGACATACACAAGAAGGGCTAAATATACTCCCCAGAAGACACACAACACCCCATCCTTTTGAAAGATTTATTTTTAATTAAAAAATAAAAGTTATCTTAACATACCTGAATTGCAGCCTCAAGGGTGGCAATTTAATGAAGCAAGAAAACTGATAAGCAAGAACTTATCAGTTCTTGGATCACCTGACCATCTTAGAATGGGTACAAAGGCACACGTGTCTTCAAACAAACAAACTTTATTCAGAAACAATGCTAATAACTCGGAACTCCCTTTCCCCAGCTTCTTTGTGCCCACCCTCACCAACCCTCCCTCCCCCACAAAAAAGCAACAACCAAAAACAATAAATTCTCTTTTAAGAACTACAGAAATAAGTGCTGAATCAGCAAGGAACCTGGGCTTGCTGCCCATGCACCTCCATATCTCTTTGCTTTGATGATTGGCTGCCCGGGGGGGCGCTGGCAGGGAGCAAGCAAGCATGCCCCCCATTGCACACCAAGGTGGGGCTTGCAATGTGGGCAGGCCTCTGGTACCCAGCCCCAAGTTGTCACCCCAGCTGGAGCAGGCAGTTCCAAGGCACTGTCTCCCTTAATCAAGGGCATCCCTGTGGCTAAAGCAGAGAAAGGCCTAAGGCAAGCAAGTCTTCAAATGCTTGCAGTGAAAATGCCACTGAGAACTGTGGAGGGAGGGGGACAAGTTGTTCTCTTCTCCCCAGTTTACTCAGCATTTGGAAGTTATTCTTTCCCTATTCTCCCTGCCTTGTCTCTTCCCCTTCTTCCCATCTTCCCTTTTCCCCCCAAAGAGTTTTATTTTAGCTTGATGGTGGGGGTTCCGAAGAAGAGGCTATGGGCAGCTCTGGGGACTGGCCTGCGGGCTCAGCTGCCTCTAAGGGGACATCAGGCGCTTTGGGTTCCTGGGCGTCACAGAGCTCCTCCTGTCCCTGGCAGGGCTCATGGTGCTCCTGGCTCTGGGCCTGACTGTTCATCTTCTCTTCAGCTTCAATCTCCTCTGATGTGGGGATGGAGTTCTTCTTGGGGCGACCTTTGGGTTTTGTGGGTGCTTCCTGTCCACCTTTGAGAACCTAAGGGGGTGAAAAATGGTTATTAAATTTAAGAAATGATTCCCTCCCTCCACTTTCACAACCAAACAGCATCAAAATCACCTTCTCAGCAGCGAGGTCACAGAGTTTAGCAAAAAGCTTTCTCAGCCTTTCGCCTTCAGTCTGCAAAGAAGCATTTTTCAAATGTGCAATGCACACTTAGTTCACATCACATATTTTGGCATTAAATAAAATGATCATAAACATGTTTTAAAAATAAGGAAAGAAATGAACATTGAAGAGATTACCAATGAAGGCAGTAAGGTGACATTTATTGAACTAACAAGTTCAAAGTAGCAAGCAGTAAAATAAACATACTCCAGTGTGAAAGTGTAATTGGTTAACCTTTTAACAAGGCAATCTGAGGATTCAAAGCACAAGTCTTAAAACCTGCATGCCATTTGACACAGATATTCCACTTCAAATAATTAAACCTGAGGAACGCATCAAAGGCTGAGATAAAGATTGATCTGCAAAAATGTTCATCACAAAATTGGTTATAACAGCCGAAATTGGAGGGAAAATACCCTAAAATTTTTACCATATGATAATTATACTACATCTCAAAGAGAGAATGGTGTATAACCATTATGATGATCGCGTAGGAGAATGTTCAATGACATGGGAAATATTAACATTTTCATAAAAAACAGGTGATCAGCCAGCACAATCCAATTTGGAGACAAAACAACTATACACCACCCTGCTTGCAGTATCAGAATCAAGGAAACACTTTAAATGTTTTTCTTTATGTTGTTTCCATATTTCTAATTTTCAACAATGATTATGTAAAAGTATTTCTCTACTCATGAAAGAGGTGATATAAAACATATAGTCTTGCATTGTTTAAAGAAGTAGCAGAGCAGTGAAAAGTGTTCTAGCTTTGAATGCAAAATAGATTAAATTGTTTGCTGTTTATATGCTTTGTCTTGGGAAAGTCCTTTAAAGACTGAGCCTCAGTTTCCTAATCTGTGAAATGGAGATAACAATACCTTATCTCGGGTCTCCCTGGTGGCGCAGTGGGTTGAGCACAGCGCTGTGAAGCTGTCTGCAGCCTCTGCAGCGCAGGTTCGATTCCCGGCCGGCCAGGGAGATTCTCACATGGCACGGCACACCTCTCCTGTCTCGCCCACTGCTCTGTCTGCTTGTTTTGCTCCCCGCTCTGTCTCTGGTGAATCCTCTTAGCCTCCTGCGCCTCTGGCCTGTACCCCAGCTCTTGTATAAAAATAAATAAATCTTTTAAAATAATAATAATAATAATAATACCTTATCCAACAGGGTGATGGTGAGGGTGACCAACAGATAGTGTTTATGAAAATGCCAGAACAGCAGATCTCTGCCCTGAATCTGCCTCCCACCCTCCTCACCTCATTAACTAGCTTAGACAGTGCTAGGAGCCTTTCCTGATCTTCCATGTCTAAGTTGAATGCTTTTCACCACATGCCCTCTGAGTGCCCTATACACTCCCCACCAGAGTGTATTGCATAAGTGACTGTCACTGCATGTCTACCTCCCTGCCCCTCCTACTCTGTGCACATAGCAGGCATCCAACAACTGTCATCAAATGGACTAAGCTTTCCCAACAAGCCTTTCCATAGAGTTGGAGAAAACAGCAGAACAACAGTACTCCAGACGGCATTTGCTGATTTTAAAGGAGTTGCACATGTACCATCCTAATTTGTTACCCACAAAAGGATACTGCGAGTTAGTCAGGCATAATTTTTTTGACTGTTTACATGTTATTTTGGAGTATAATAGACCTCCTTCCTGTGTTGGCACTGAACCCTGCTTGATAATGTTGATTTTCTGGGCAGCTAGTAAGAAGGGCTTCAGGGAGAGTTGGATTAGCACAGATAATTAGGAGTGGCATGGTTTTTGTTGCTTGCATACCTAACTACCCAACTACTCCCATCCTGTACCCAAGCATCTAATCTCCAACTATCTTTCTATGAAGCCAATAGTCACTAAATATTTACCGATGACATCTTTCCTTTAAGAGCAGCTAGAAGATCCTGGTGCTGACCTGTAAGAATATTATAACTTCATAAGCCGTAAGTTCTTTTAAAGAAAAAACAGCTTTGTTGAGCTCTGGTTTACATACCATGTATCTCTCCATGTGTAATATTCAACTTAATGATTTTTAGTAGTCACAGAATTGTGTACTCTCACTAGAATCTAATTTTAGAACATTTCATCACTCCCCCTCAAAAAACACCATACCCATTAGCAACCACACCCATTTCTCCTAAACCCCTCCCCCCACAACCCTAGGCAACCACGTGACTTGCGTCTCATCATATGTTTTCAAGGTTATTCATATTGTAGCATGCATCATATTTCATTCCTCATTAATGCCAAATAATATGCATTGTATGGACATACCACATTCTATTTATCCATTCATCAGTTGGTTTATGTCCCTATTTTGGCTATTGTGAATCATGCTGCTATGAGCATGGGTGTACAAATATCTGTTCAAGTCCTTGCTTTTATTTCCTTTAGATACCTGCCCAGAAGTGAAAATTCTATGTGTAATATTTTTTTAAAGATTTATTTATTTATGCATATAAGAACTGGAGTACAGGCCAGAGGTGTGGGGGGTGAGAAGATTCACCAGAGACAGAGTGGGGATCAGAACAGGCAGATTGAATGAAATACACTGCTGAGAGGAACAGCGGGCAAGTCAGGAGAGGTCTGCTGCGCCATGTGTGTAACTCTCTGGCCAGGGATTGAACTCATGCTGCAGTGGCTGTGGATAGCTTCATAGGTTGCGTCTTAACCCCTTGCGTCACCAGGGAGGCCCTATGTTTAATATTTTAAGGAACTTCCAGTTTGTTCTCCAAAGCAGCTATATCATCCTACATTCCAATCAGCCACACAAGAGGTTCCACTTCCTCACAGCCTCGCCAGCACTTGTTATTATGAATTTTTATCCTATCCATCCTGATGTGTGTAAAATGTTGTCTCCATTGTGTTTTTTTTTTTTTTTTTAATAGAGGCATGCTTTTATTTATTTGTTTGCTGGTTTGTTTGTTTGTTTTGTTTATACATGCACTGGGTACAGTCAGAAGCGTGGAAGGGTGAGAGAATTCACCAGAGCCAGAGCGGGGAGCAGAGCAGGCAGAAGGACCGAAGTACACTGCTGAGGGGAGCAGCGGGCGGCAGGAGAGGTCTGCGCGCCATGTGGGACCCTCCTCTGGTGGCCAGGGAGCAGCCAGGGATCGAACCGGCGCCGCAGAGGCCGCGGGCAGCTTCGCAACCCAGCGCTCAACCGCTGCGCCACTGGGGAGGCCCTCCATTGTGTTTTTGATTTGCCTTCCCCTGATGACTAATAAAGTCAAGCATCTTCTCCTGTGCTTATGGGTCAGCTATTGATCTTTGAAGATAAATCCTAAAATAAGGCCCGTTTATTAATCTGGTTGTCTTTATATTACTGAGTTGTAAGATTTCTCTATATATTCTGATACAAGTCCCTTATCAGATATGAAATTTGCAAATATGTTCTTCCATTCTGTTTGCTGCCTTTTTACTTCCTTACTGATGTCCTTCACAGCACAAAAATTTTCAATTTTGATGTAGTCCAATTTATTTTTTTGTTTTGTTGCTTGTGCTTTTGGTGTCATATTTAAGAAGGTTTTGCCTAATCCAGTTCTTTTATTTTTTATCTAACAGTTTTCTAGTTTTAGCTTTTATGCTTAGATCTATAATCTTGAGTTAACTTTTGTGTGTGGTTTGAAGAAAACAAAAGTTTTCAAATATTTACCTCCTTTTATCTTTCAATCTGCTCAGTCACTGTCCTTACCACCCAAACAGCTAACACAAAGCTGTGAAGGGGAACTTTCACACGGTACAGATGCTGACAGAATCCACCTCTAGGGAGAAGATGTCCCTATATTCCTTTTCACATAAGTCAGGATCTGATTTTGAGCACAGGCTGTTGAAAGCACCCAAATGTGCCAAGATAAAATTTACATGTTGAAAGCAGCTGCACTAGGTATGAAAGAGGTTATACAAAATTAAGTTGCCCCATGTAGTAATCAAGTTATAAAAGGGCAGGTCTAAGGAAGCCACCTAATTGGCAAAAAAAAAAAAAAAAAAAAAAAGTCCAGCCCAGCAATTAGAGAACACCACCCACACAGCTTGGATAGACCCCACCTGGCTGTTTTCCTACTGCATGAAGAAAAATCAAAACAGTCAGACCATTTTCTAAATGGAATAAAACATTCCAGCACAAGCAATAATTAGAAGACAACTACTTTCTTGGCTGCCTTCCGCATTCGACCTCTGGCCTCCTGCCTCCCAGCACACCTGAGACATGCAATTATCTCACCACCACCCCACACCAGGAGCTGCACAATCTCATGCACCCCGTGGCCCTTCTCCCACGACCCCTCCTCCCCAATAAGTCCTAGAGTCAGTTTAGCCATTTGGTCTAGAAAGGTCAGGTAACCCATTGTAGGCAACGTCACATGCCATTTGGAAAACACTATGGCACTATTTACCTTTATTAGCCATGCCTGCTATGACCTTCCTGACAACTCTAAAAGTAGATATTCAGATATCCTGTTGCTGAGGATATCAATGCAAGGCTTTGCTTCCTTCCCTCGGTGCTTCAGTGAGAGACTGGGGGGTGGGGGGGAGCTGGACTGCAGCGTGGAATGCTAGTGCAGGAAGGAATCTTCTGCCTCCCCCACTTTTCAGAGAAGACACTGAGCAGGCAGAAGTGATTTGTATGGCCAAAGGGTGAAGGGACCTTGCATTTCAAGGGCAGAGCATAGATTTAAATGCAAAACCCCTGACCATTCTAGCACTCTTAGCAGGTTTCCACTGGGAAGGATGTGCGAGGATATCTACAATGTGTAGCCGTGATTTCTGATTTCAATATTTATTTGCAACTACCCAATCTCCCAGCAGACCCCAGGTCATCGACTCCTTCACAGGGGGACTTGTATTCTTCCTTTCTCTATTTATGTGCAGCACAGTGGAATAGTGAAGGCCACAGACCACTGTTTCTGTGAAACTAAGAAGCAAGTTCAGATTGTCCAAGTGACTTCCTTCCCCACTCACTGGTTAGTAGACTTTCTTGGCCTAAACGTGACGCGGCCCACCGTCTCCCAAGCGAGGCCTGAAATGCCATGGCACTGACTGGGGAAAGGCTGGCATGTGGAGAATAAGAAAGGCCAAATACCCTGGACTGTTCTTCACTGCAAGAAAAGTTCAGAGTCTCAGAAACCTGCAGAATTCATGTTAAGTTTATCTTCCCTAGCATCCAAAGTCTGGGTTCTCTGGAGACATGAATTTTGTGTGTATGAATAAAAATAATGACTATTTTTTGTAATAAAATGATAAGAAGAAGAAGAGCAGCTGACATTTCTTGACTCCCTACAGGACAGCATGTACTCTTCCAAGTTTTACAGGGATTCACTCAGTTAATACCACAGCCTTATAAGGTATATAGTAGGCATTGACTGATGAGGAAACAGGCACACAGAGGTTAAGTAACCTGCCTGAGATCACACAGATAGCAAGTGGTAACAATTTCACAGAATTGTTGACTATCTGGAGATTTTCAGTGCGAAAGATGTTTATGACGCATGGTATGTGGCCCACCCGATTCTGTGATGGGGTGAGGGAGGGGGGCCCCTCCCCAAACAGGAATTGCAATTTAGAGCTGAAAAAGACCACCAAATAATGAGCCTGTTGCAAAACACTGTGGCTCCGACTGGAACTAGAGCCAAACAGAAATGGAATAGAGGGTGAGTGTCCCATCTAATGTGCAAGATTAAATTTACCCAACCCGCTATAGGTTACAAATGCTGACCGGTAAAAACTAGTCAGAGATGCTATCTTGGTTTTGGCAGCCCTGTCCTTGGCAGTCGTGTGAATAACTCTGAGAATCAAGTGCTAATCTTTTTCCAGTTCCAATTAGGTTACTAGCCTTGAGACATCTTTATTACCCAATTATCTTTTTCTTTTCCTCCCCATTACCTGAAGAGATAGCCTTGAAAGAGTTTTACCAGCACAATATATGAAGCAATCCGCACCCCGACAATACCTCGCTGTCCTGGGAAAGGCAGGATCCAGACCCACAACTGAACAGCATCACTCACCTTCGGGCTCTGGCTGTTCTGAAGCACTGCCAGTGCCCCTTTCCTTCTGCCCGTGACGCACTTCCACTCACACACCAAAACCTTCCCTGTGAAGTGACCCCTTGACTGATCCTGAGCCCTGTAAATAAATCACCGCTGACCTCACTGCGATTACTGTGTACAATTGCTAGTCTATAGGTCTGTGTCCTCCTCCACCTGACAAAGTACCTTTACTAAATGTTATTTTTAAATGGATGGGTTCATATCTTGTCTTCACATCTCCAATGCCTGGCGAAAGTAAGTGATCAATAAATAAATGGCTGGGCCTCCCCTGGTGGCGTAGGTGATTAAGCGTTGCGCTGTGAAGCTGTCCACAGCCTCTGCAGCAGGGGTTCCATCCCGGCCGGCCAACGAGGGCCCCACATGGTACAGCAGACCTCTCCTGTCATGCCCGCTGCTCCCCTCAGCAGTGTATTTCAGTCAGTCTGCCTGTTCTGTTCCCCACTCTGTCTCTAGTGAATCCTCTGACCCTCCCATGCATCTGGCCTGTACCCCAGTTCATGTATAAATAAATAAATAAATCTTTAAAAAAATTAAAAAATAGATAAATAAATAAATGGCTGCTAAAATGAACAAGAGCTGGTGCCCGCGCTCCCTAGAAGGACCTGAATGTGGTTGGCCTGGGGAATGCTCTCCGAGGTTCAATCTGCTCAGTTATTTTACCTCCATTTTGCTTTAAATGACATTGATAACCATCAATAACCAGCCCACAATTGTGCCGGCAGCACAGCAGCTTGTGAAAAACAAGTGACGTCAGAGGCACCGGCACACGCGTTGTCCCACAGGCACTGGGCGGTGCTGACAGAGGTGGCAGGCTGTCAATTCCTTAATCATCTGACTCATGAGAAGATCGCTGATAACCAATTTAAACAATACCCCTGCCTTTCGGGAGACATTGATTTTGATGACGATGATTGACGAGGAGGGAGGTGGGTGGTGGAACTTGCACCAGAAAGCGGTGAAGGGACTTGCCCAAAATCAGCCAGGGAGGGGCAAGCTTGGGAACACAGCCCAGAGTTTCTCACTCCCAAATCTGATTCTTTAAGAGATCAGTTCCCCCAAAAGGCTTCTGCAGCCAGTTTCATGTGTGTCTTAGCATTCTGGAGGTTTTGAAATGGCTGTCTGTGTTAACTGAATCCCAATTATCCCTCCATATCAACTTCTCCCACCTTCCCCAATACTCTCTTCTGAACAACTATGGGCTTCAAAATCTGTAATGAACAACCACCAGCACTTAATCACAATGTGTTCTCTAGCTGCTTCCTGGGCCTCAATTCCCCAACAAGATCAAAAATTCTATGAAGACAAGATTATATTTTCTTTGTTTAGTTCCTGTAGTTCCTAGGTCACGAGCTGGTTCACAGAGACGCTAAACATTTTTGTTCATGCATGCAATATCTGTGTGTTGGTTCACACGACTGGCATCTCTGCCTCACATAGAGAGGATCTCATAAGTCAAGCTACCTCCATCTGAAAAGTCTCCCATCCCAGGGCCAAATTCCCAAGAGTAAACCATGAAATTTGCCCAGGAATTACTTTCTGGGAATCTAATGGATGCTGCCTTATTGGTTTTAAATTGTTTTTCCCCATTGTGGTTTATTTTCCACATTGTTAGCAGGCAACAGCAAGAACTAAAGTTTTAAGAAAAACCATGATGGGACAAAAATACAAAGTTGAGGGTACAGGGGTTGGGAAGGTGGGTAGAGGGGTCAATTTGAAAGAAGTGACTGGTACTAGAACTTTGGTGGTGGTGTGGTTTATACATTTATCGAGGTGTGAAACTTATATAGCATTGAGAACCAATAGTAAATCAATTTTAAGAAAGAAAAAGAAGGGCCTCCCCGGTGGCTCAGCGGTTGAGCGCTGGGTTACGAGGCTGCCAGCAGCCTCTGCAGCCCCAGTTCGATCCCCGGCCACCGGCGAGGGTCCCACATGGCGTGCAGACCTCTCCTGCCGCCACTGCTCCCCTCAGCAGTGTATTTCGTCAGTCTGCCTGTTCTCCTCCCCCTCTGGCTCTGGTGAGTTTTCTCACCCTCCTGCGCTTCTGACTGTACCCCAGTGCTTGTATAAATAAATAAATAAATAAAATCTTTAAAAAAAAAAAAAAGAAAAGAAAAAGAATACCCAGGAGCTAAGCAGGTGAAAAGCCTAGCAGGTGGGGTTAGTTATTTGGTGCTTGTGGAAAATATCATATTCAAGCCTTGAAACACCTGGAAATATGCTTGTGACCAGAGGGTTTATTGAATTAAAATGTCATCCAGTCAGGCCTGGACCACCTCATCCATATGAGGGAAAAAGGGGCCAATAAAGTTCAGGACACATGATGGGCCTCCCCAGTGGTGCAGCGGTTGAGCGCTGGGTTGCGAAGCTGCCTGCAGCCTCTGCAGTACCGGTTCGATCCCCAGCCGCCGGGCACACAGCACACAGACCTCTCCTGCCGCCCACTGTTCCCCTCAGCAGTGTACTTCATCCGTCTGCCTGCTCTGCTCTCCCCTCTGGTCTGGTGAATTCTCTCACTCTCCCACGCTTCTGACTGTACCCAGTGCTTGTATAAATAAATAAATTAATTAAAAAAAAAAAGTTCTGGACACATGAGAGAAAGGTCCAGGTAGGAAGCCAGGAGTACCGGGTCTCTAAAGAATAGAGCAGGACTTTTCCCTATCCCCCTTGCATCCCTTTTTCTATGAACTTTGGCCTTGTCCCCTGTGCTTTACAAAACTGGAAATGAAACAGTTACTGTGGAAAATTTGGGTTTAACAGTGCTTTTTTAAAAATAGGTAAACTAGTATGAAATTGAGTTCCTTACAATATAAAGATGTTTATTCCAATAAAGTTCATGTAAAAACCAAAGATGGGATGATTCATTAGCCAGGCACTAGGGCTAGGCCCTCCACTGTCACTATGCCACGTGCATTAGAGGAACCAGGTGCCCAGCACTGTCCCGACACACGAAGTCAGGATTCTGGGAGAGGCCTAGGGTTCAGCCTTTATACTTGCCACCCAGGTTACTCTGATGCCCAATAAAATTGGAGACTCACCGCATTTGAGGAGACACACAGCCACAAGAGCAGATGTGCTCTATATGCCATTACCAACAAAGAGCCCTGTCTTCTATTCTTAGCTCCTGGTGGGCGGGGAAGGAAGTTCTTTGAAAAGGCTAGCAGGTGGGGTTAAAACTAACTGAAAAGCTTGTGGGCTTTCTTTTCCCTTTATTTCTAAGTAAACTGTGAAAAAAGAATATCCTTCAGCTTTGGAAATGCAGGTCAGGAGGAATGGCTTATCTGACTATTTAAGGGGCCTCCTTCCCAGTCAACTTCTTCAAAGGCTTTTCAATCTCTGGAGCCTAAACCACCAAATGGTCCATCTTGCCTTCTTACCAGCCCCGTAGTAAGAATTTTTCCCATTATGGTGGGCATATGATTAAATTCACTCTCTTCTTTCTTACCATTTTCTTCCATTTCATCCTACGGTTCTGATACCAAGTCTTCACCTGCAGTTGAGTGAGTCCCAGAGACTGGGCCAAGTCCAACCTAGAAGGCATATAAAGGAAGGATGAGGAAAAGGGAAAGCCGGAGAAAGATGAGGTCCTGCTGGCTAGCTCCGGACAGTGCTACCAAAGCACAGATCTCCCCCCATTAAACCAATTCTTCCCCAAAGAACTTTGCTTTCCTCCCAAGAAACCAATGGGTGGAACACTAAGTAGCTAAGAAAATGATGCCCACACCCCAGGGCTTGTAGGGCCTCACTCGGAAAACATTTACTCTCTACATTGGTCCTGAAAATAATTTCTGAGCCTTCACTGCAAAGTCCTTTTTCTGACTTGATAGAGCCTTTTCTTTGATCCTGTAACATTCTGACCTCATATCCAAACTGAGAAGGAAGGGTAAAGCTGTATTTCCCTTCCAAGAATCCCACTTATCAGTCTGGAGCCAACTCAAGTCCCACCTCCTGTGGGTGAACCTCGAGGGCCCCTCAGTTCACAAGAGTTATCTCCTCTACACCCTCCCATGGATCGGCCATCACCAGATGACTCCAGATTCTCCACTGGTGTCTAGTTGCTTCAGATGAGTTAGTTCTGCCTCCCTAACTCAACTGCAAGAGTAGAGTATGTCTTCTGCTTCCTTTATAGCCACAAAAATGCCTACCACATTATAAATTGAGAACAAGAGCTCAAAGATGCTTTTCACTGGATTGAGTCATTCATGGTAGCTGTCCTAAAGTGTTACAATGCCAGATTTCAAAAGAAACAATACATCCACAACGCCTCCTGCTTTCCATTCCACTGCTAGCCACAATTCTGCATTTCTCTGTAGGCTTCTGAAAAATCCTGAATGTCAAAGCCATTCCTGGGAAGTGTGTAGTTGGCACTAATTCCAGCAAAGCAGCAACCATTTCCTGAGTACCGCAGCGTCCCAGGCTACAGGTTAAGCCCCTGACATGTGCAATCTTATTTGTTCCTTTCACAACACTGAAAGTACATACAATTATTACCATTTGAAAACTGAGAGCTCCTAGGCTCAGAGGGAGTTGAATCTCTCAGCAACAGTGGCCAAATCCTTTGTAAATAAAGTTTACATTCATTTGTTAACACATTGTCTATGGCTGCTTTCAATGCTACAACCTCAATATTGAGTAGTTGTGATAGCAACCCTGTGACTCACAAAGCCTAAAATATTTACTGTCTAGCTCTGTACAGAATAATTTTGCTGTCCTCTAGTAGATGATCCCTGGAGTAAGAGGTGGAGCCAGGATTTAAATCTACTCACCTCTGACTTATATACCTCCTTTTACATAGGGGCTCACCACATTTTTGTACACATTAGCTCTATCAAAGAGAAGCTCTAGCTCAGGCTTTAGTGGAGAAAATGCAGGAATGCTCTATCACAAGGAATGACAACGAATTTCCCGAGTGCAGCATATGAAATGAGAAAGGGAACCAAGCTCCCAACCTTCCCCCAGGAGACTGGGTGTTGACACAGGTTGATAAGAACTGAACATCAACTCAAAGGACCAACACCAGTTGCCTCCCTGTGGCCAACCCTAGTTAAAGGCAGTGTCAATGGCTAAAGCAGCAACTTGGGATGAGCACCCTAGATACAGCTTGAGCAGTGACCACCATTTTTGAAGGGCTCTCTGAGGATTGTCTTTTGTGGACCAAAGTCCATTATGTCACATAGACCTGCAGCCACAGCCTGGGCCATGAAGAATCTCAGGTGTGAGTTCTCAGTGTAACTTTCTGTACCAGAGGAGTCTTGAGCCACCTTCACCACCAGGAAGACCATGGGTATTAGCAAGGAAGGTTCTGGGTGCTAACTATTGCACTCCCAAATGCAGCTGCCTGACCTCCTTGCCCAGAGCAGAGTGCTTTACATCTCCAAGAATAAAAGCTGTCTTCTTTCAAAGGAACTCAGAACCTCCCTTCAATCTGCATTCACATATATCTGGTTGTCCCAGTAAAAGGGCTACTGGAAGTTGACAGTTATATTGAAAGTAATTAACAGACTGAAGCTAATAAATAGCCAGTGCCAAATAGCACTTAGCCATCCCACTAAATGAGCACTGCCTTCCAAGCAGCCATTCATTTAGAACTAAGAATCCAGGGGGCAGTGAGGGTGGGAGGAAAGAGCATCCTTCTGGTTTCTCACTCCCCCCTGGAGCCCCCTGGGCTCCCAGCATGCCTCCTCAGCCGGTTCACCTGAGGCCGTCAGGTGCATTAGTCAGTGGAAGATTCAGTGCACAGCTCTGCCGCTGCATTAGCAAATGGTGTTAGCTCATTTGGGAAAAATGCGCCCTTGACTCACTCTGGCTACAAAATCACGCTTCCCTGTCATCAGCTTTCTCTCATTACCTGCCACCGTTACAAATTCTCACTTCCCTGCATATTCACTTAAATAAGGTCACCTAGGAAACGAAGGAAACAAACAACACAGAGGAAGAGGGAGAGCAGTGCTGGAGAAGGGAGCGCCCATGGCCCTGGTCACGTATGGAGGGGAGGGACATTTGAGAGGGTGGGGTAAGGAGCAGCCTCCCTGCCAGCCAGATGGTGTCCTCCCCAGGCAAGTGAATCAATCCTGACTGGGTCACCTGAGAAATGCCTGGGCAGGTATCAGGAAGCCCTGGGAAGTCTACTAGGAACTGGTATTTCTGTTAAAAAATTCTGACTTCTAGAAGATAAGTCTAAAATTTTACCTAAACATATCAAAACTCTTTTTATGCACCACCATGCAATTCATAAATAATGGTGCCCACTCAATCTGGTTTCCCAAAGACATCAGGGTCCCCCATTATATGATGGAGGGCATCAAAACAGTCACTTAATACCAGAGACCCTAGCTATTAATCCCCAATCCATAGACCTGTCTTCATCGTCCACTGAAGACACCCCAAATGCTCATGTCCAAAGCAGAGCTCATGCTTTCGCCACCAAACTCACTGTCCTCTGCCTTGCAACTTCATCTACTGGCATCCCTATTTACCTATGGTCCAGCCAGGAACCACAGAATTCTCTCTCCTCTCTCTTCCTCAACCCAATGTCGATTCTGCTCATCCCATACTAAAACTGTTCTTTAATTATTTTCTCATCTCTATTCTCATTGCCTCCACCTTCATTCAGGTCTTCCCTAGACTCTCTCCTAACTGATTTCCCTGCTTTTCTTTCTCACATCAATCATTTATGGTGCCACTAAATTGAGGATTCTAAAATGTAAAGCTGGCCATGTTGTTTCCAGGTCATAATGGCTACTAACCCATCATGTAAACTACAAAGTCCACATTCTTTGGCCAGGCATACGAGTCCCTTCCAGAATCGAGCTGTTTGCCCCACTGCAGCCTCCCCTCCTACCACATCCTGATTCACACTTTGTGCTGGAGATGTCCACCCACTTGCAGTTCCCTCAACATGTCCAGCAAACATGCTTCTGTGCCTTCTGTGACATATCCATGTCCTCCTGGAGCAAAGCTCAAGTAAAATGTTGTTTCCTCTGAGAAGCCTTCCCTAATCCCATCTGACACACTCAGTAACACACCAGCACCCATACCCAGCTCACTGTACTACAGTTAATGTAATATAAGGTTCTCTTCTAGTACTTTCTGGACCATCACCCCTGCTGCAATGCTCAGCACACAGGCGAAGCCTGGCGAACAGCAGGTGGGTACACAATTTATTGACTTGGTAAAAGATTCTCTTTTAAGTCAGTGATTTGCAGACACTTCTCTCACTGAAACTTTCATCAAACAATTAGTAAATAAATGGCTTATGAGAGGCCAAGGAAAAGTTTCTTTTCCTTTCTCTTTATTAGGACTGGAGTCAAACCTGACAGGGAAAGACAGCGAGCAAAAGGAGAAAAGAAAGACCTAGAACATCATCTCAGTAAACAGGATCTCCTAGGAGCTCATTCATCTCCAGAGTGAGTCTGAAGGAACAAGAGAAGACACACACTTGCGTGTTTTATAATTAAAGATATTAAAATAAAAAAGATATTGAAGTCTCCAACTAAAGCAAAGGTCACATTCGCCTCATCTGGATCTCTAATATGTTTAAAGAAGGGATTCTCATTTGGTCTCAGTGAAGTGGTTGTGGCTTAGTAACATCAAATCCACTGAGACATGGACTAGCTCCTGGAATCCCAGTTCAGCTGTCACCAGGCCAGCAGACAGAGCCACTGGGGGTGGAAGGGTGGGGAGAAGCTCCTGGACCACAATTCCAGGTCAGTCTCACTGCATGTTTATTTATTTTTTTCTTATATTGTTATTCATTTTTGTGCAATAAATAAATAAATCCCCATAAATCTCCCACCACCAATTCACCCATGAACCATCACTATAGTCCCTCTTGCTCTTCCCTCCCCTGTTTGGACTCCCTCCCTCCCGCTCCCCTGCTATACCACAGCATGTTTAAGTGGCTTTAAAAACCAAACATGCTTGCCAGATGAGAGCCTGGGCAACCATTTACTGAGATTTGTCTTGCTTATTACATGGGAGTAGTTAAGTTAAAACAAAGAGACCCAGAATGGAGCATAAATTCTGCAACGGGCAGGTTCCTGGGGCTGACTGCGATGAATTCTTGTGGGCTGGATTCTGTTAAACCAAGGCTGAGATGAAGTGAGCGAGAAATAAATTCCTACCCATGTCAAGCATCTCTAAAATAACCCTTGTACCAAGAGCACAAGGCGCTCCCTCCTCAAGGGCCTTCACCTCAGGCAGCCCCCATTCTGACTCCTCACCTGTCTGGGGTGGACAAGTACTTCTGCTTCTGGAATTTCTTCTCCAAGCCCATGAGCTGCAGCTCGGTGAAGATGGTGCGGCTCCGGCGGGGCTTCTTCTGCCGGGGGGTGGGCTGCTCTGTCTCCGACTCACTGCTGCCCAGAGCCTCGCCACCTGGGGTCTCAGCAGAAGGAGCCTCTGGGGCCGGGTGGCGTGACAATGCCTGGGTGATTCCAGGGGTGGCAGGGACCAGATGAGAGATGACTGTGGGCTGCCGGGTGATGACCGAGAGGAGAGGATAGGCCCGAAGGGAAGCGGGGCCTGGAAGACAAGCAGGGAGGCAGGTCACACAGTGAGCAGGTTGGAAGGCAGCCAGGGGCCCTCAGAAGGCCACTTGCAGAGACCTGTCTGACTGGCTGGCCTGTGCATCCTAAGGAGGTGCAAATGAAGGTAGGGAATGAAGAGGCAACTCAAGAGCTATGATTGGGTGGGCAGGACACAACAGCTCTCTCCAGGCTGTGTGAGAACATTCCAGTCCCCCTCGCCAAGAAGAGTGTCCTGGCTTTAAGTCAACCTATCCACTCTTTCTCCCATTTGAACCCCTTAATTCTGGTTTCAGAGGTATGGGTTAATGAAACTGTATAGATGAAAAGACCTAGTCTAAAAATGCTAGATATACTTACAAACTCCAAAATAGATGCCTGAGAACTATGGTCTTTATTAAAAAGTGCCTGAGAACTATGGTCTTTATTAAAAAAAAAAAAAAAAAGACATGATTGTAATTATAAATTCCTCGTGAGGGGGTTTATAGACCTTGAATCATCATATTTTTCAGAGCTGGAAGAACGCTAAAAGATTATTTTATTCAACTCCTTCATTTCAAGAAAAAGAAACAGTCCCAGATAGGTTATTTGCCTAGGATCACAGAGCTAAGAATAAGCAGATTCAGGAAACAAACCAATTTCTTCTGGTTTCTGCTATTATCACCACATCATGAATCATGTGGATACATCACTAAGGAGAGGGGGGCAGATAGATTTCAATTTGCACAAAAACTCAGGCCCATTGTGACTGGCTGCCTCCATTACTGTGCTAAAGGGGATTCCTCAGACTGACTGAGGAAAGCAGGCTGAGTTGATTAATGATGTCTGCCACTGGCATGTGGGGAGGAGGAGCTGGTGCACACATACTAACTATGTGCCACACCCGCTTTAGGAATCTCAAGGCAAGGGTACTTTTCTGTCCAAGAATCTGTTATGTCTTAAAAGTTCAAGTAAAAGAGTGCTTCCCTGTCATTATTGAATAGTATCAGGTTTAAAATGTCATGATCATTACCTATGTAAATCATTTTCTCTCTCTGCACCTTGGTTTTGTCATCTGTAAAGCCAGTAAATGTAATAGTTTCCAAAAATCCTTCAAAATCTAATAGATTGGTGCCACAAAAATACCTCTCATCCCAAGCCCATCTTGATAACCAATGAAAATAAAGAAGACTCAGGGGCTGCCCTTTGGGGTTCAGCCCAGTCTGACAACTCATTACAAAGGCAAGGTGAACACTGAATCAACCAACACCAGTCGTTCTGAGTTATGCCAACCAACGTCCTAAAGCACCCAGGGGCTATCTGTGTTCTCTCTCTCTTCACTGGGTTGGCATTTCTCCTCTTATTCATCCTGTGCTTCTGTTCTGGACCCCAGTCACACTTATGAAAACAGGTAACTTCTCTTGTTCTTTGACTGCTTCCAATAAGGCCCAGTGAAACCACAAAGTTGTTAAATAATAAATCACCAAGGGCTATGACTACTCTTACCTCTCAGCCAACACTAACACTTGAGGTTTTATGTTGTGGATTCTTTTTAATTTAAAAATCTTCTGGGAATAGTATTTTATAGCAGTAAAATTAAGATACCTGGGTCTGTGGTTTTAGACCTGCCAGTATATAAAATGCCAGTATATAAAACACCACCTCTTGAAAAAAGTATGTGAAATTTTATATATTTCTTGTCTCAAATCACTTCACTCCTTTAACTCTGCCATTTCTTTGAAAAGGAATTGTCTGTCTTTATGAGCCAGGCTAATTGATAACCTAGAAATTTAGGCTTAAGAATACAGAATGTGGGTAGTAATCTACCTGTCAGTAGTCTTTAAATCGCCAGTTTCAGTTTTCTCTGTTGTAAGAAAGAGAGTGAAATATTTTTTTAACCTAACATTGAAAAGTATTTTGGAAGTGTGGTAATATTTAGTGTTGGCAAGGATATAGGGAAATGGAGCTTCATATATTGTTGGTGAGAGTGAAAAACAGTATAATCTTTTAGAAGGACAAACTAAGTCATAACTATCAAATTTCTGGGCACAAAATTCCACCCTTTGAGAGCTATTTGCCTGTGTGTGTAAACATTCATGTCCAAGTATATTCACAGCAGCCTTGTTTATAATAGTGAAAAAGGGAAAATAACCCACATATGTGTCAATAGAAAAATGATTAAATAAATTGAGGTACAGTTATAATGTGGACTACAATGTAACTGTTAGAGCTATACAATCATGTGTCACATTTCAGTCATCATCTGACCCCCAATGAACTACTGATCTACCCTAGGTGTGGAGCTTTGTGTACTCCATGACACTTACACGATGACAAAATCACTTAACTACCACTATGCAGAAATGCATAGTGTCCTGGTGTTAAACAAAGCATGACAGTATATAAGTGGAGAGTAACTAGGTAAACCACATAGAACCTAGAAAATATCTAAAGGTGTAACTACCCCAGGGAATTGGGGGACAGTAAGTAAGAGGACCATTTGTATATTTTTTAAAGATTTATTTATTTATACAAGAACTGGGGTACAGGCCAGATGTGTGGGAGGGTAAGAAGATTCCCAGAGACAGAGCAGCGAACAGAACAGGCAGACTGAAGGAATACACTGCTGAGGGAGCAGCGGGTGAGACAGGAGAGGTCTGCTGTGCCATGTGGGACCCTCGCCGGCCAGCCGGGATCTAACCCGCGCTACAGAGCCTGTGGACAGCTTCACAGTGCTGCGCTCAACCGCCTGCACCACCAGGGGAGGCCCACCATTTGTACTTTGATTGCGGTAGTGGTTATATAAATTTTCACATTTGTTAAAACTCAAAGTAAATACTAAAATAACAAAATTTTACAAAACAATTAAAAAGATGTTTTTAAAGTAAGTATTTTAATTGCCATTTGCTTTTATTACCAAAGGATTACACATTTTTAAAGAAATTCAAAACCATTCAGAAATAAAGTAAAAGTCTCCCCTCACTGTTTCATCAACTCCAAATCTTACAGATAAAATTCCATAATTCTTCTTATGTACATGTAAAAACATAAATATGTTCCAAATCTAGTCAAGTGTATGCTAATCTACTGAAATAGAGTTATTAAGTGTTTATTTTATAAAATATAATTCTCACTTTTTTTTTCTAAATGGATAGACAGCAATCCAAAGATCATATATTGACAATGCTAGTTTCAAAATATATTAAGCTCCCAATTAAATGAAGTTGGGTACTTTTGTTCATCAGAATTCAGAGGATTTACTGGGGGATTTTGGTCACCAGATTTCTGAGATTCTCCTGCTCTCTAGACAAGCAGTCAAATTGGGAAAAGAACTACCCTTCTCCGGGGCTTCCTCTTAGGAAGGGGTCACGAATGGGGAATGCCACTGTGGTCCTGCAGCATGAAGGGGGTGGAAGTGGGAGGAGGAGGCAAAAACCAGGACCCCATGGGGATCAGAAAGAGGGACACACTTTCAAAGGTTGCCATGAGTCTGCAAATCTGGGGAGAGCACAGACTGTTCAGAAGATTTCTGAAAAACATTTTAGGGACTTTACTGTATATAATCCATGAATATACTCCTCTAAGAAAACTAAAGGTCTTTATGTGAAGGCTTCTGTGGTCAGAGTTCTATTGTCTTTGAACATAATTCTCCATATATCCTGGGCCAGATGGAGCCCTACATGTAGATGGGTTATATTATGCATACATGTGCCTGTTTCTGGACTCTGTTTTGTTCTAATGTACTAAGATACGATCCTATTACAGGACCATTCCACTTTCATTATTGTGGATTTCTAGGGAGTTTTATTATCTAGCAGTACATATATTCCCTCCCCGCCCCCTTTTTTTTTTACAAAATCTTCTTGGCTATTGTCAGTTATTTATTTTTCCATTTGAATTTTAAAGCCAACTTGTTAGTCTCTAAAAAAATAAATGAGTAAAAATTTGATTTGAATTACACTAACCTTATAGACACACTTAGGGAAAGGCGCTTCTTTTGTTGACACTGTCCTTTGGTAAGTTGAAAGCAATTTTGTTCTTTTAAAATGGCTTTTGGAGATTTATACAACTCCATAAAGATTAAACTAAATCTCCATTAATAAAAACCACCACAAAAACTGATATAAGAGTAATTAAAGGCAATATCTGAGTCACCGAAATCTATATCTTCAGGAATTTGGACACCTCTTCAAATGTGTTACCACACCACTCCCACCACCAAAGTAGCACTAATCCTCCACCACAGTCCATTGTTAACCCAACGTTCTGATGCAAACTCAGTGACAAATTGCATGTCCCAATTGAGTGTCTTCTGAGCTTAGAGGCAGACAAAGGCCACTGTGATGCTAAGTGTTTGGAGGGTCCAGAAGGACCACCACTATAAATCAATATAACTACAGTGAAGCACTAGGTTAAGTTTTTGGTACTTGACGTGTCTCTATGGCCAAGAAGGAGCAAACAGGGCTGGATTAGGAGTCAGGTATGTGCAGACAAACCCATGGGGAGCAGAAAAGTGAGACAAATATACTTTAGCCAGCTGCTTGCTGTCTTTTCTTGTTTTACTATGTGGTCTGATTTCCAACGAAGTAGCATCGGCCCACAGTTTTAACTTTACTAGGCACTTCCACACCCCCGTTTCATATTCTCACAAAAGCACCGTGAGATAGTTCAGCCGTGTATTTATATTTTGGCTAAAAATCAAATTTAGTTTTTTAAAAAATAGAGAAAAAAAATCACCAATGAATGCATACATTAGGGGGCACTATTGAGAAGCCAAATAGTGTATAACACTATGTATTAAGTATGTCTTTCTCTTTTCCTGGGAATTGTCACTATGTGAAAATGTTGACTGCAGACAGCTGCCCTGCTACCCTGGATCATTTACATACACTTGTGAAATTCAAGCACATTAGCTGCTACTGAGAGGGAGTAATGACTGTAATAAACCAAAGACATTGTAAAACAAACACATTTTGAGCTGACGAAAGGAGTGTAAACAAGACCACAATGAATGCATTT